AAAATTAGAGCGTATTTATTGATATTACATCAGGCGTGAATCAGGTGTGAACTATAGCATTTAACATGCTTATTAGAGATAAACCATGAAAATCGCTTCATTTATATAAACTTAATGGATACCTTTCAAAATGCAGGTTAAAATTAATATTTGTGTGTATACGAAACGAAGCTATTTATTTAACTCTATTCACACAATCGCACATAATACTTATTGATTAGTCCGTCCTCGGTGCTAATTTTACCTCGAATTAGTGATAAACGAGCAATGTTTTTACCATATCAGTAATGATATTTTTGCAATGACGAAATTTTTTATTGTGTTTAAATATTTCATACATAATTTTCAAGGTTTCATTCTTTTTTTATATTATTTAGTATATTTTGTAATTTAAACTAAAACTGGCTATCTTTTTCTATTGCTCAAACGTTGTTTAATTAAGTAAAAAGAATAAAATAAAAATTTTGTGAAAGAAATATATCTATTATTACATACGATAAGCAAATTATACGCAATTCTAAAGTGATTTTAGAGTTAATCGATAGTATATGTTATACAATATACATGGAATAAAAATAGCGCACTGATAACGTCACGATACAGTCTGTTATATCTTGTCACGCGCTATCGACCGGTCATAAACAACTTGATGCACTTGACTCGATTAATGCCGTTTTCTTTTTATCACGTTGAAGTTGCAGTGGTCGTTAATTTAGGATCTAATTTAGAATTAGGTTGTAAAACCAAGATAAATATATACAGTATCAGTAAGCGTTCCAAACTGTTCCTGAGTCCCTATTTACTCGTAGCACTACACGAATATAGAGTCATCGATAATTTTGACGTCGTTTAACAATGGCACAATGTTATGGTCGTTATTATGGTGATAAACGCGAACTCGCAATTGGTATATATGGTAATGATAAGATATGGTAAGCACGCATATTGAACACGTTAGATTAGGAAACTAGAACATTTATGATAGTTAATTATTAAGCATTATGCAATCGGTGACTCTTCGCCCTGGTGACACATTAGATAATTATTGTGTGTCAATTTATGAAAAAAGCGAGAAGGAGTGCTCTATATATTTTTTGACAGTGACGAAAAGTGAGAAAAAATGGCTTACATATTTTTCGACAATGATATATTTCGAATGGCTAGATAACGAGGTCTTGTTATCGATCCTATATAACCCGATCCCGATTCTTCTCAGAAGAATTATCCCCAAAGGCCGAATCATTAGAAATCTTCCGGTTCCGTGGCGGACTAGTATAAACAGGACAAAATGCCATAAACCATATTAAGCAGCAGCTATAAAACACTCCCGCTGGGCGCGTATACGTCGCTTGATTTCAAATCCTTGGAAGGTCTCGCTATTCACCTTGATCTGAGAACGATGCGTGTCGTATATATTTATTGAGACAGTAAACCGCAATTATGCCCACTATAACCGACTAACTAACCGCCACGTCGTTTTCGTCGCGGATCACGAATTTTTTCGACCAGTCTTCTCGCTCCTCCCGTCTCGTCGGTCTTTTCTCCTGCAATCTTGTTTTCTTTTGCCATTGCTGGAAGACGAAAAAATCTGCGAAAGTGACTACTAGCGCTTTAGGAACAACTAACGATTAATTTGCAAACTTTATTAAGTCAATAATATTTTATTAGAATATATATTAAAATATTAGTAAAATAGAAACTATAATAGAGACTTCTCTAAAAAATTATGTTGATGGTAAAATAAAAAACTTATTAAAAATGACATTTTATTATATGAGCAATATACATGCAATCTTTAATCACACAAATTACGTTTGATAATTTATAATAATTTTTCTTGATTATTGTTATTATTGTAATTATTATTATTATTGTTATATTAATTTATAATAGCAAAAATGCACAGTCCCTTTACTATTGTTTTCAATTTCAATAAGAGGTCGATGAACTTACCGTCACGTCAAAAATAAGTAAACAGCCACAGGATAAATTCGTCGGATAATGTCACACTAACGACGAGATAGTCCGAGGAAATCTCACCAAGACCCGCGGCTCCGCTCGGCTACATCCAACGGATTTAATGATTATTACCGTGCCGATGATTGCGCCATAAAACAACATATTGCTGTACCTGGAACTCCGCGGTGATGGAACTTCAGCTAGCTCGTATAACCCCTGGGCGATAATAGAGCTGCCCCGGTTTCCGGATATTCTGTAGACTACTTGTAGAGCATGAAACGCATATTCGTAACGATTCCACGCCGTTAATGCGAATCGAAATGTGAGTCCGTTATAACGCGATGTATGGTGTGCTATTATGCGTCGAACTCGCTAGTCGCTAGGCACTTCTAGAGAGTCCTCGTCACTTCGCCAAAGCCATGCCTCACTCCTTTGTTGTATGTATGCGGTCGTGCACATTCTCTCTTCACTCCCATTAATTAACTTCGCGGCATACACGACCGCTCTCCTATTTTGAGAATAAGGAGCGCGTCCCTTGCGCTGTATCGCCATTCTACAACATCCGCTCTGCATTAATTGAATATGCTCGCGTTTACACGCGATATCCTACTCGCGGCCGTCGCTTTACACGTGGCCAGAATCTATCTTTCTGAAAAATTTCAAATTTATTCAATCTTTCCACTGGTGGAATTCATCGCGTTCGCGTGACACGCGAAAATGTGAAAGAATCAAATAAAGAACTGTGCTGATAGATCTAATAAAGTTTGTAATATGTAAATTGGATTAGATTTTTTAAGTTAAATATATCTCGTTGCCATATTAATATTATTTATAAATGTGAAAAAAATTACCCTCTAGATTTAGCAATTATATATTTTAAGATTTGAAGAGCTTTAAAGGACTATAAGATAATTCGCTAAATCACATAAATATTTAAAGTGACGTTTATTTTATAAATTAAATAAAAAAAATTTCTATTTTGATCAGAAATAGCTTGAACGATAGTTATGAAAATTAAAATGCAGCAGAAGTTTCGTTGACTGAACGTAGCTTGGCATTAAAACAATCAGAACTGTCGCTCGCTTGCAAGTGTCTGGCCAGTGAAACACGAACACAACCGGGCGTTCGATAAACAATGTCGCCGCAGAACAAAAGTCAGAGGTAACGACGGAGAAGCGATCCATCGCATGTTTAACGAAGCGCAGCCGGCGGGTATTGCGGCGAACAAAGAGCGGCAATATCGCGGGAAGCTATGACGAGACCGAAGGAACGAGAACGAGCGGCATCGCCGGTTGTAGAAACAGTCGCAGTGCCACAAGAAACTGACTAACTGGTAATTAGCATATTCTCGGAATATTTCGGAAGCACGCGATGTTACGGCCGCTCGTGCTCTGCGAAGTCTCGCGATCGCTCGGATTCCAACGAGAGAGAGAAGTTTGTTAAATCAGGCAGATGCTGGCATATAAGCTGTCCGTGAATTCCAGCGAAGTAATCAATCCGAGGTGGAAAATAACTTTGTAAAAAACGATATAAGTGTGCAGCATTTGAAACATGAATCTGCAGAAATATATGTGCTCGGATAATAATTCATTAATGATGATCATTTAACATGAAATAATATACCATCTGAATTACTCTTCTGATAACGCCTTGCCTCTGAGGCGAAAATTCACTTCGATTTATAATTCATAAAGTTACCCCTGAAGAAGAGGAATTTTAATTTTTGTATAATTTAATACGCATTTTTCCAATTTATACGCCCACTTCGATCATTTGGCCACTAATTATTTTGCCGATGAAACATGGCCGTTGATTTCGCAAGAGTCTTCGGATTGACGACGCCTCCTTTCATCGGAGGACTGTCCCCTCTTTGTTTTCGATGCAAGCGATCTTGCAAAACCTGTCGCCCGTAGATGTACTGCTTCGCTCCGAGGGATAAACCTTCTTTCACCGACCGTAACCGATTATCCATGCGTGTAATTGGACCTAATTGGACATCGATCTACGTACGATCTTCCTGTGTTATCCGTCCCGCGACTTTGATCCACCATCGGCGGATTACTTGCGACGCAATCGATTATTACAGGATTAATGGCACGATGACTCAATTAGACGATGACGTGCCCGCGGAATTCAGACGCCTCGGAATCAAATCCTACGCTTATACATGCCGATTACGCCTTCGACTTCACGTAGCAATTTCGTAACTCATCTGATGTAACACGTCACGCTTTACCCTGCTTCCCAATATTTATCGCAAAAAGATTAGCTTTATGTATTAGTAGTATGACTGAAAGTACAAAACAAGAAAGACATCAATTTCAATTTTATTACTTTTTTATTTATCCTCCTAAAAAAAAAAAAACGTTGATAGACATATTTTTTAGTTAAATGAGGAGAAGAGTATATTAGATATATAAAAAAATTATATTTATTTTATAAATTATTACAATACGTAGCGAAAGGGAAAGCAAATGAAGTCAAAGATAAAACTTAAAAAATGCAAATATATACTTATATTAATTGTAACGTTTAATTCATGTCACATCACTGTCACGGTATATCATTACGTAGAAATTTATACGCAAGATTACTCCCCAGTGTAATTGCCATTTGTATACGCGTAGGCGAGACGGATAGCGCTCTTTCGCACGCGTGGAAGAGCATAGCTCGAATCTAACGAGCAAATACAGATCGTATCAACTATTATGGCCGCTCTATTACGGTGATTAAGCTGTGCTCGCGTATAATCGTGCGAGTCACGGAGTATTGTCCGCGAAGTGTCGCCGTACTATCCTATCTCGTCTTTCGAATGGAGGTGTGACATGTCTACAATTTCTTTTCAATGTTCCGTATGAATGCAAAATCTGCCTCTATCCTTAAAGGATTTATAATAAAATGTAAGGAGATCTTTACAAAAAATTTTACTTCAAGATAATTTAGAATGTATATTTATTTAACAAAAACATCTGATAACTTTTTACATATTGTAGAATTAAATCATATATATATATATATATATATCTCAATAGTACATACGCAGAATTGATAACATATTATGTTAGAAAAAGTAAAAAAAGAAATACAATTTCGATCACAATGTAGGCTACTGAACAGTCTTTAGCGCAGGTACTTGTCTAGTCGAACGATTTGATATAATTGGAGATTACGTTCCTCACTTTCGACGTTTCGTGAGCTCGATTTGCTACTGGATTACCGGGCGGCCGCTTATTTGCCGCAAAAGGAACGAGATCCTTCGGTTCGATTTACAAGCCGATAATTTGTGGCTCGCGCTCTTCTGAGAAAAACGTGGTGACCGATCGCTTTCACTCCGCGCCATTTACGATTGGTTCAAGGTTCGTTCTCGTTCTTTACTTTTTTCTGTCCTCGTGCTGCACCTGCAACATGAAAGAACACGGAAATGTGATTACGATGCTGCACGGGGCTGCACAGATCCGATGCCAATAAGAGCGAACACGAAGCGGGTGAGCAAAGAGGGTGAAAAAAGATATAGGTAAAGGGAGTCTCGTAAGAAGAATATTTGAGAAAAGAAACATAACTAGTAAGTTCTGGTTTACTTTAAGATAATATATATTCAATTTTCAAGAAAGCAATTACTAAAATTACTAAAATTAAATTGCAATTCATTTAAGTGATAAGTATTTAATTGCAATATTAAAGTTAAAGTTAAAAATCATTTATATATCAAAGATACTTGTACATTTCTTAAATAATTACGCAAAAAAAGAAGAAAATTTGTTTTTACTTATATATACCATCCTAACATACAATGCATCTAATGCGCATCTAATTAAGTTCCACGATCAATTTCGCTCAGTAATTTCACATTTCTTTATTTCTAAAGCTCAAGACGATTAATCAGATCCTACATCATAGAATTAATGACATGGTCATGTAAAAAAAAAACTCTTCTACGTCCACGGGAGAAAATTAACGTACGCGCAACGCGCTCGGAAGCGCGCGCTTAGTGGCTCTCGTGCTGACCGCGCGGTAAAAAGAAAATGCGACTTTGAGAGAAAAACGTCCAAGCCGATATGGTTTGCACTGGAAAGGAAAGGTGGCAGGTGATATGGCACGCGATACGAAAATTACGGTGGCATCGATCAATACATGCAAGAATCGACAAAGGGGCAGCAGGCGCATCAATGGCGGCGATGCTAATTTTCAGTGCCCGCTCGCACGGCGTTTTAGTGTTTACTGAGAAACCTTGCATGCGCGTGTGTTAGCTTCCCAAAAAAAAAATACAAAAAAGAGAGTACGACGACGACG